GGGGGGAGGGGGGGGGAGACGCCCTGGCGGCGGCGCGAGCAACGCACATGCCAGATGACGACCACCACCTGTCACGATGAGCGCGCGAGCCAGACAGCTACCACTCAGCCTCTTTTTAACGGCAGATGCAAAAGTAAAAGAAACAAAAATTGCAAAAAGTATATGAGCAAAATTATAAAAGAAGTATGCAAATAAAACTGGAGCTTTACCACTTATTGCATAACCAGAGAAAAAACAAATGACCAAATACTAACGGATTAAGAGGCGCACATTAATCAATACGCACAAAAACAGCAATGTTAGGGGAAAAAGCTTTTAAAACTCACCTGTTTCTCGACCGCCGAGCCATGTTTAAAGAGCGTGGAGTGGCTCACAGGTACTTTCACTATCTGCTCAAAGTTGCGTGTCCCGGCGTAGTGCAGGTTGACATTAATTTAAACAACAGAAGACTCTGAAGATGCTCCTCCCTTTCCCTGGTCTCGTCCTGGTCAAGAGCCCCTAAAGTACGCATGCGCGGAGTACTTCAAATGCACCCGTATTTACAGCACTTCTTTTTAGTTTTAACTGAAAAGAAAACTATAATTATCATAAGATAATAATTTGTTAGAAACACCAAAGTAATCCATATAAAACAAAAGTATTGGATAAAATGCATGTGAAAAATTCAAATAAATTGGCCGTGTGTCGTTTTCATGGTCTTAGTTGTAGACTGAATGCGCGCAAAATGAATATGGTTATGAAAGCCGAAGGCGTCTTGAATGCACCACATGCACCACATTACTACTGTGTAGATTAGACACGCAAAGGGCGCCTTTTGGCCGTCTGTCCGCGCTAAAAAAACCTTTTGTCAACAAATGTCGTGAGAGATTTCTCAGCAGGAGAAAGGAGAACCAAATTTGTGCATCAGAACAATTGCAGAATACTTTTGAACGTGCATAGTTGTGCCGCACTCTCTCCCTCTCTCTGCCTTTGAGTGTTGCTACCTGTTATGCCTGCTGGCGCTGGAGATAGTGGCTGCAGATGTTACATAGTGATAAAACGCACAACAAGTCATTGTCTTATCCATCCTTATCGTTAAAAAAAGACCATGTGGTGGTTTGGAAGACGGTAGTTAAAGAAATGTAGAGGCACTTCATCATTTTGCGTGGGTTTATTGCTGTAAACAATGAACCCCACTTGTGGGTCAGAGTTCCGTTTGTTTTCATTGGCAGTGCTCAGTATAAAAATTATTTGACAACATTTTAGCAAAATCTCCACATATTCAAGTATGGTAATAGATTATATATATATATATATATATATATTTTTTTTTTTTTTGCTACATAACTGTCCACTGTGTAGGCCAGGATTCATTATTTTTTGTTTTGGTTCAAGTTGTCCATGGCTGTCCCTAGACTGTAGTCATTCAAGCATTATAATACTTTTATTTGTATAAATGTGTCTTCTTATTGTATTAGTTCCTCCATATGCAGTCTTATTGTTTTAGTCACTTGTAATTACCATCGCCCCAGACTGGCCTATTGTCCCAGAGCAGTCATCACAATAGTGGCCTTATAAAGGGAGACAGACATGGCCTTGAACTGCACATCTCACTATTTGATGCAACAGAGTGATCAGTGAAGTGAGGCCCAAAGAAAGTGAAGATTGAAAAACACTTAGCATGTCCTACATGAAATACAAAAGGTATTATTGTAACTTGTTTTTATTCTTTTTACACAATGAGTTGACGTCAAAGAGAAGCCTGTCCATTTAAACACCTAAAGAACCTTGTAAAGTTCAAATCTTATCTTTCAGGTGTAAAATGACAGAGAACAGATATGAAATGACACAAAATGCACAACTGCAATAACTTTTGTCTCCATGCCCCATACATGCCTGTGTAAACCAGCATTGTTCTATAAATTTTTGCCTGAAGGGCATTGCACTTGGAAATATATGCACATCATTACCAGCAATAGGTCAAACTTACAAAAAAAAAGAAAAATACATATATAACATATATGGACTAAATATAATTCTCTATACCCCCTCCACCCCAGCACTGAATTTATCTTTTCCTTGAGGGCAGGAATTTAAAAAAAAACTTGGTTATCTGAAACAAATTAAAGGAAGGGACTATGGGTATGCAAATACTCTTTCACAGGATTCAACCGGAAGCCCGAGACCCATTGACTCTAGCTGAGGACATTTGCATGGGCACGATTGGACAGGTAAAGGGCAGGTTATGGGATGGCCACCCCCTGTTGTAAAGCTGTGTGTACACAGGCTGGTTCATTTGCATGGTTTTTAATGACAGTCCCTTGGTCCAAGATATCCCACCAGGCTTTCAAATCCAGTGGAAGAAAGCCCAAGTCTGACTTTGGGTTTGTAGAATAGCAAAATCGGCTTGCACTTTTAAATATATGTACAAGAGGAAAGATGATGACAATAACATATCCAATGAATGTATCATTGCTATATGGTGGTATACTCCATGTATCAGGTAGAAGAAATGTCTATTCATTTTTGAACTGTTGAAACACAACATGCAAAATCCTTCATAAAAAAGCAAACCTTTTTTTATTTCATTTTAAATATATCTATAGACAAATATGTGCTTATATAAATAAAGTAAGGAATATTATTCGTTCCTTATTATTCTTATTAGAAGACGTGCCTAAAAGTGTAAGTTTTGCATTTTTCCCTCAGGTGAGTTCCTCTTCCCATTGCACCTAGTGCTTCAGGCACATTATGTAAAGCATTATCTCATACAAGCTGCCAAACTTTGGGATGGACCACAATCCTCATCACCCAAAGCTTTGTCTGCTACAATTACATCAGCAGCAGCATTCATTTTTTAATCAGATTTACAATCTTACTTTTAAAAGATTTACAATCCTTTGCTTTCACCATGTCTGAAAAAATGGCAAACCATCATCTGCCAAGCTTTCTAGGCAACATCTGAGAATGTGGTATACAATAGGTGAACTAATTAAACGTTTATGGGGTTATTTCACTTTAGGTATTTTAAATAACCAATCTCTTTTATTAAAAAAAAGCTATCCACGGATGTTATCATTCTTCTTGCAATCTGCCCATCCATCTGCTTAATCCATATAATCACAACTGCATTCATTCTCTTTGAAACCCCTTTTTTTTTGTTTGCTGCGGTTCAATCACATTGTTGGTGCAGATTTGACCGGCAAGTTAATGCGAAACGTTTAAAGGAAATAAGTGTTCAGATCCTGTGCAGAGGCGTGAAAAATCACACTCAGCTGACTTGCAATGAAACACATCTGATTTAACATGACATTCAAAAACAAACAACAAAAAAATGTGTTCTACCAAAAATAAACTCTGGTTTGCTGCCCTATTTATGGCTATAGTGAAGATGATCCACGCAAGCACAGTTGCAAAGACTATTACAGTTGTTGTGAATGGCAACATGTTCCATTGCTACCACGGATCAGGTGCTTGTTGGTTTTTTAATGTCCTAGAAACCTTTGAGTGTTGCAAAGGAAGAATCCCCTCCCTGTCACCTGTGTGACCCTGAAAACTGAACATTTCTCTGTCTTTGTGCATAGACATTTCGCTGTACACATGAGCAGTTGTTTATATTGACATGTGTGAGTAAATGTGCACCAAAAACTTCAAAACACAGGAAGTGGAATTTTAGAGGGGAAACCTCCACCCATTTAGAGACACACACACTCACGGACACACAAGCACACGTCTAACCAAAAGGCAAACTCTAGGCAAAGAAAATAAACTCCATGATTTATGTTACGTCCTGATATAAATGATCCGTTTATTTGACAATTAAAGTTGCTCTTTGCTAAACTGCCACTTGCAACATGAGCCTTTTGTTGTGAAACGACCTTCACAATTACCTAAGCAAGCTGTGTTTCTCCATTCTGTTCTATTTTTAGGTTAAGGGAGACACACCAAACCTCATATTTCGATCTGCCATGCTGATGTGCAAGTGTACTTCACTTGCATCACTGGTGTCAGATTATTGTGTGACATTTTCATCTTCTACTGTTTCATAGGCGTATGAATTCCTATTAATGAGTTCGGAGGATCTGTGGATATTAAAAACCACACTTTTGTTTGGATGCGTACCCATTAGACCCATTAAAAGGGTGTTTGTGTGAACATTTCTTAATACAACAGAGCAAACACACAAGCACATATTATTTCTGTTGGTGCTGAAAAGGCTTTTAGTTTCTTGCGCTAAGACAGAAAGAAAAAAAATTATGTCACCTACTGGGTGTGAACACGGTGATACTAACCTTAAGGTGTCGTCTTTATGAAGATGATTTAAGAACTGCTTACAGGTTTTAAGATATTTTTCATGCAAGGATATCTTTTTTGACCTTCTTGCACCATTGCCACTTGCATTACTCATGCCAATCAGTAACATTGTTGTTTGGTAGCAACTACTACTGGTCCACAGTAGTTATGGTAACAGGCAAGACATTTCGCCAAAGAGGCTTCAAATACAGACTGTAGGTGGACTTATCAACAAAACTCCAAGTCAAGTTATTGACAAATTATCACATTTTAGAAAACGATAACTTGGATGAATTAAAAATCATATTACAGCACACACTTGACTCCAGTTTGTTAAAAACAAACCATCATACTGTGTGTTAGCATTTATTTATCAAACAAACACAAACATGTTCGTCAACTTTTGTGTACAATTTTACATAATGTGATGTATACTAGCTGCATTTTTGGAGCTTGTATTTCAAGTCTTACAACAAGCAGGCATCTGAAATCTAAAACACCTCCTAGGATATCTTGCCTATACGTTTCTTTTTCTTTGAATTCTTGCACAGCAATTGGTAAAAAGGCCAAATATACACTTCCAAGTTTTGACTTGTATGCATAAGGAGTGCATTTAAAGCCTTTTATCCTTTGAAATGGAAGAAGACAGTAAATACAACATTATAAAGGATTAACTTTTTCTTCTTCATGACTGCCTAAAAACACAAGCATATGCCAAAAGCAATACAAAAACCAATCTTGATAGAAACACCTACATCACTGTAGGGTGCAGTGGGAATAGTAATAATCGAGGGGGGACGTATAGATCACGACAAAGGCAGTAATGCAACATTATGGATACAAATACCATGAGGTTATCCACATTTATGCAAAGAAAAAGAAAACAAACATTCAGAGGAGTCAGAAAGGAAAAAACTAACAAAGGATTTTGGGAAAAGAAGGTGTCCAGAAGTAAATATACAAAACAAAACAGTAATGCAATGTTTGGGAATCCAACCTCTTTTAAAAATTTTAATGGATCAACTATATCTCGGGCACACTGGAGAAAAATCAAACGTAGGAAGTTAGTTATCATTTTGAGTGAAATAAGGTAAGTTTAAAAAATATATATAATTTTTTATTTTGATGCATTTTTTATGCAAAAATGACATAAACTTCATTGTTTTTCCGAGAGCAAATAAATAATAATAATAAAAAAAAGTAAATGTCACATTGCAGCTTCCGTATCGGCACACAACATCAGCAGGAGAAATGGCAGCCGTGCTGTGAGGCACATGTTGTCACTTTTTGTGAGCTGCAAAACACTGTCGACGGGGCCGAGAGACGACACATAGGCACCATGTCTCGGCACAGAAATGTCCGGGGTTACAACTACGATGAAGGTACACTAAAATTAGTTAACCAAGACACTATAAACAAACGACCAGGCCTCCAAAGAAGCTATAGCCCGTTAGCCGCTAAGCTCTCTGGTTCTGTCCCTGCAGCTCTTGCTGTTGTGGCTAAGTGGCTAGTGAGATAACAGCGCTGTCGTGTCACTTGGCAGACTGCACAAGACATTGTTGCTCTCGAAGCTGCATTAATTAGTATTGGTTTTATACTGATATTGCATGCTGCATGTTTACATACAAGTTTTATTTACTACATTACAAGAAACAGTGGTGGATGTTTTTGTTTACATATGTTGGTGTTAGCTTGTACACTAACTCTGGGAGTGGAATATATTGTGGTGGTTAATACAAGAGAACAAGATAAGGCCAATACATAATCCACCTTCTTATTAAGTATTAAACCCCCTGAATTCAACAAACTGCAGTGGTAGCAACTTTATTATAGGAAATCCTTCAGATGCATGTGTATTGTTTGTTGTGGATTCTGTAAATCTGCTGACAATGCAAAGTGACATCTGCTGTCACAGAGGGATTTCTCTCTTTACAACAGCTGCATTTGCACACGTTTCTCCAATGAGAGAAAATAAATTGACTGTTTTTATATCTCTAGACTTCGAGGACGATGACATCTACGGACAGTCTGTGGATGATGATTACTGTATATCACCAGCAACAGGTTGGTATCAATGCACTGAATTTATGTAAATGCTCACTCTCCTAATGGCAAATTAAATATAAAGTTCTAGTTAATAAACCTACAAACCTCAAACAAATAAGAGAGTTTTTTTTGTTGTACTACGCTATTCATTATATTACCCTTTCCTCTCAAAGCATACATTACTTGTCTTGGAACACTGACACTAATATATTTTATTGCTTATTTAATTCATTATTAATAATTTATTTAATAAAATGACTGCATTCTTTATGACAGGCTGATATTTCATCACAAGTTGTAGTTTGTCAGTTAATTGTTATTTTAATTCCATCAGCAAATCAGTTCATCTACTCACGTCAGGAGAGACAAGCACCAAAAGAGGAGCCTTTAGAAGAGGAGGAGGGAGAGTGTGAAGAAGAAGATGCTTTTATGTCTCCATCTTCAAGCCACAACCTTGACCCTCTTGATCAAGGTAATCTTAAGGTTGAGGTTACACAATTCATTATAGTGCCTTTGAAATACATGTTTAATCTTCTCAGATAAATGATTTATTTCCTGATCACACAAGCGGTCTAATATTTGTGTTGTGCTTTTTAGCCAAGCTGTTCTCCTGTCTGGATCATATGCGAACAGTCCTGGGAGATGCAGTTCCCGACTCAGTTCTGAGTAAGGCAGCCATTAAGCATGATTTTGACCCACAAAAGGCGTTGGATGCAGTCCTGTCAGAAGACACTAAACCAACCCCGGTTGCAGAAGGTACTACTGAGGCAGCTTTTGCACCAAGAGTTACCCCAGGGTTAGCGCCGCTGCCACAGAGAACCAAACGAGGGTCTGCTGCAGAGAAAGGTACGCTTAGTATGGATGAAAAAACATCTTGTTGAAATAATCCTTGACTGGTACACGATCAATACTTTTTAAAATATTGTCTCCAGTTGTCTTCAAACAATGTAATGTTCTTCATTGTTTTATAAATCAATGATGTAATTTGGTTTTTCGAGTTGTTTACTGCTGACCAAAAAAGATCAAATAAAAAAATAAACTATAATTGCTGCTAGGAGCAACTTTATAGGTGTTAAGTGTTATGATAAACCAGATAATTGCCAAAGACATTTCAGAGAAACCACAAATTCTTAATGTCTGTGTTGTACAGCTCGGATTTGCTGTATTTCATATAAATGTATCTTCCTTCAGTTGGTTTTGACATCTGGATGAACAATTTAAATCATGCATGAACAAATGTTTTAACAAAGTGCCTTTTTTTGTTTCTTTTTTCCTTTTTTTTTAATTTTATGGCCCCCTTCTCACAATGCTTGGACACCTGTAATTGGCATTTGTAAGGTAAGGAGCCTGCTTGTCTGCTTTTCACACTGACATCCAATCCATGGCACATAAGCCCCAATCTGATCAGTGCAAACATACACAGCCACGTGTGGCAGCAAGTGAATTGAAATTGAGTGGTCTTCTATCAGAAAATAAAGTTCTAAGCTGTTCTGAAAATCAAAGTGTCAGCCCTGGGAAAAGTAGCTTAGGGACTACTAGTCTGGCACAGCTCATGTCTGAGCATGAGCAGAAAAGTAAGGTGACAGCAGCGGTTGACGCAGGGCAAGGTTTATCTGTGCCCTCATTTGGGAGTCTCACCATTGGCGCTAACTCACCGCCTTCTGCTATTTCCAACCCAAGTGGTCTTTCATTGGGAACTTTGGCTTCTCTGAACATGACCACTGCATCGACCACTCCAGCCACTTGCCTTCTTTCAGCTTCACTCGGTAGTCTTTCACTAAACAATTCTAAAGTGACGACCAGGAGTGCGTCTCTCGCCATTCCCACTGTATTTGGGAGTCTCAGTTCTGTCCTCCAGAGCAATCAGATCTCACAGGGATGTAGGACAGACAAGCCTGCAACAGCTGATCCCAAGGGGAGTCCATCGTTGGCTGATTTAATCCAGGAGCACTCAAACCACATCCCTGGAAACAGTGACTTATTTCCAACTTTGCAAAACGAAATAGCACCTTTGAGATGTTCAGGAGGGGTTGAACCAGCACAGACTCCCCCACTGTCTGAGCTTGCGTCACTGCATCAAAAAAATAAATCACACACAGAGTCTCGATCACAAGGCACGGGACTCCCTGCAGACACACAGAGCTTTGCTAAACCAACAAATTCTTCAATTGAATTTCTGGGTGGGACTGTCCCACCCTCACAAATGACACGGCAGCATCAAATGAGCTCATTAGCTTCCTTCAAACCTATTAGCACTGGATCTTCTGCAAAAGCACTGAAGCAACCACCCGACCTCTCTGAGCTGCTCTCTTTGTCAAACCTGACTTTTCAACCTAAAGAAAAAAATTCAACCACTTCATGTGGGTCACAGTTCTCCCTTACCTCACTCTTGTCACCAGCAAAAACAGAGAAGGCAGATGTGTTGGCAGATAGTACTTCAGAAGATAGCATGAAGCGCAAATGTGACCACAAACCATATGAACAAATCACCAGGCCAAATAAGCCACTCCATACTATTGATCTGAGTGCACTTATAGCCCAGGCCCACGGAACAGGACCTTGTCCATCTGATACAGACCTCCTTTCACCCATGTCCTCATCTCCAGTTCCCTTGGGCTTCGATACTTCTGTTTTTGCGACACCTTCGTTATTTGCGATTACTTTGTCTACTCAGATCCGGAGGCCGCACAAGAGGACGAGAGTTGTTTTAAAAAGAATATTAAGAGCGCAGAAGGCTGGAATTGGTTACCAGGCTTTCCTCTGTAAATCAGAGGGCAAGCCCAGAGAGCAGACCGCCACGCGTTCACCAATTGTACCGTTCTGCTTTGACACACCGTCACCAGATGACGTTGTCCGTGCTAATCAACGAAAAGCTTTTACCAGGTAGACGAAAAGAAATAAAAAGCACTTGATGGAGCAACATTGCCACCAGTGTTGATGCTTCATGCCCCTTGGCATGGAAGCTGCACTTCAAAAGAAACACATTCAGTGATGCATCACTCAGGGCCGTCACTTCTTTTTAATTTGGGGTTTTACAAACAGTCTGAAGGACTTTATATACAGATTACAAAAAAAAGTTCATAAACAATATTTCAATCTATAAATACAGGAATTCTTTTCAAAACCACACAGGCAACTTGACGTTGAATGCAGCTAATACTAAAATGTTTTAACAACTTTTAGGACTTGTTTATTTTTATTTACCGTAGCCAAACATTTTGTTTTTGGTCATGCTTTTTGTATGTTTTGACAAATGGTTTTACATTTTTTTATTGGTAAAATGAATAAAGCTTAAGAAATGATAGCAAGGTCTTTTTTTTTCTTTTCTGGCACTGAGCTGCATGAACCCTCAAGAGAGAAAGGGGTTATGTTTTGTCTGCAGGTGCGATGCAGCTATTGGAATATGGATCAGTTAACCATTGTGCTGGTTTATGGTTGTGTGTGAGATCATGGGGTTGACTTATTGGTCTAGAGGACACCTGGAGATTTTCCCATGAGACAGTGATGAAAAACACAAGCATGTACACAAGTGCAGACAAAGTAACTCTTAAATGTTCTGTAATTGACTAACTAATCTTAATGAAACCAACCCATCAGAGCTGTGTTTTACTTTTAACCTTTTACACTATATTGAACAGAGGGGTTTTATACTCACACTGGGTACATCTGTTTCCTTTTTTTTTCTACTGGAAATAAATTATGCAAATATCAATGATGTCAGAAATAGACACAAAAACTGAGATTGACAGCTGCATCAGTGTTCATCTCAGTGGATCCAAGTTAAACACATTTCTGGATAGTTAATGCCAAAAGATGGACATTGTATTTTACTTTAATTTTTTTAGAAGTAGCCTTTCTTTTAACAAGTAAAAGCAAAAAAAATGCTTTCAGCATCTGCAAAACTCACATGGCATTGATTTGCACAAATCGAAATCTAACATATAAAATTTATTATTATTACCTTATTAATAATGTGATCTAAAAGGAGATGCATCCAGTTTGGCTGGAACCTTGAGGTTCCAGCCACTCTTGAGTGTGCACACACTCTTGAGTGTGCATGTATCTGCATTGCTTGAATGTTGATGTGCATGTGTGTCGACTAGTTAGCTTACAGCTATCTAGTAAGTTATCAGTATTAACCCAATTACACCCTTCTGACACACTTCAATTTCAAGTTTTTTTGTAAGATGAAAGAATTCACCCAGGGTTTTTCTTTTTATTTCATATATTTGTCTTAACTGCTTCACAGAAATTATTAGAATGGAAAAAAGATGTCCGGGACGTTAATAATTAATTAATTAATGCTTTTCTGCATGTGTGTCAATATCTTACATCAATCACAAGCTGTAAAGGTCAAAAACGTGACAGCCCTACTAAAAAGTGTGCAATGTTTTACTCACAGCTCTGAGTTCTCATGTAAGAGTGGGGGCTCAGCAGTGGAGCAGTGGAGTGGTCTGCTTTCTCAGGCAGGTCTTTGGTTATGCATTGTCAGTGGGCTACAGTTCTGTGCATATTTATATAGACTCATAAAAGGAGACTTTAGTCATCATCAGTCATTTTTCAACTATCATTATAACACTCATTCTTAACAGTGACACTTTTTAACTTGGTACAAACTAATAACTGTGTAGATTCATTTTGCTATCTTTTCAGTTAACTAAGGACACAAGTTATGATTTGAATAGCTGCCTACAATGAAAAGTCAATGCAGGACTTTAAGAAACAGCCCTCTTAAAGGCAAAATGCCTCCTCTGTATAAATATCTGGTGCATTGTTTGCACTTTTTTTAAGCAGGAACAGTGTTTCTGGAAGTGTTTCACATCCGTACTCTGACTCATCAGTATTGGTTTGAATGAAGACTCTCAAAAGACTTAAAATTACCTGGAGGTTTAACAAATCTGCTTTAGGGCACAGCAGATAAGATCTCCAACCTTGAAGCATCAACTGTAGAGACCATGTTGTATATTGTCCAATGATTGTTCCAAGATTTGAGCAAATGAAGGGGAAAAAAGGGGAAAATGTCAAACTGCTATTTTATAGGTATTGGTAGAATTATTATTCCCTCATTACTTTGTTTAATGTTGAATTTTCAGCTTGATTTAAGCTTTGTGAACACATGAAAGTGAGTGAAGTTGACCCTGAGGGTGTCAAACAAACCATGGATCCCAGGGGGAATGATTGATAGTAAAGGGTTGGCAGTAGGGATAATTGCAAGTCAAACATTAGAAGTCAAACAGGTTTTTTCTGTGTAGTCTTTGCAGAATTATGATATTTCGAAGCTCTGCTGCTCAGGTCTCCTGCTGTAAACGAAGATCCAGTCCAGGCTGTTTTAATGCACAGTCATAGTTATAGTAACAGACTGTTTTGTCCATCATCAATTCTGTCCTTTTTCTCAATCTTAAGGCAAACCTGTGTGTGTGGGTTTGGGCAGGAAGCTGTACTTATGGAGAAAATGTCACCCCAAGCACATGACGAAGCCTGATCGCCTTACTCTCTTGTGTCTCATACACCACCTACGTAGGAAAATCTGATCATCTTTCTCAACTTTCGCAGCTTTGTCAGAGGCAGACAGATCAAATCATGTTGGTGTCTTCACACAACTTGCAGCGCTTACTTGTTGCAGACTGTTGTTTTGAAGCTGTGCAAACTCCGGAAAATACCATGGTGCTCACAGCAGAAGAATGCATGTGTTTACGGACATATGGGCTGTATAATGGGCTATGCTTCCTGTCTGTACAGAATGATTATTGGAAAATAGTCTGAGAGGAAGAGAAGCAAATGTTTGATCAGTATTTCCAAAGACTTTAAGTCTGCTGAACGTGTCTTTGGACTGTAGAAGAACACTAAGGAAACCCATGTGTATACGTAGGTAGAGTTTGCACCGCCAGACACAAAGGAAGGCCGTATGTCTGACCCAGAAAAGAGCAAGACCCTCCTACCATTAGGGTTTTTTTGTGACTACACCATATAGTTGGGTCGTGACCATGTGGTATTGGCATGAGTATTGGGTTATCAATCATAACTGAGTGGGTTATGAGCGAATAAGTTAAAACTTATGACTGATGATGATTTATAACATTTTCTATTAATGCTATTAATTATTCTATTAATACACTTTTCCCCATTGTTTTTGATAAGTTGATGTAACACGTTAAACCTGGCTACCACTATGTTGTGACACTTACTTAAAATGTATAAACTTAATTTATAGGATGCTAATTGTTTTAGGTGTAAATGAAGTTCTTTTTTTCTGATATGAAAATCTTGAGTTGTCCAACAGCCTGTGGTCGGCTTTATCTTATTCCCCTCTTCAGTAGTTGACAGTTCTGACCTGTCGGCAGGTTGGGAAGCTCACCTACCCTAACTCAAAGCCAGGTAGTTGTTCCGAGTATTTCTTGACACCAATAATTCGAAGAAAAAGAATCATGAATCATGGTTTCTTGTGCCATACTTTGATTGTCTCTGGGGACCCATGTAACCACAGAACTCACTGAGGTCTCTGCATGTAAATGTTGTAGGGTTTCTTTGCACGGTCCAGTCTCTAATCAGCAATATCTTTGTATACTTGTGTATTGTGCTCGGTGGCCGAAGTTTTCCAGAAATAGTCCGTAGTACAGTAATATTGCAGTAATATTAAATTAAGATTGATTGGTTCCACAGTTCCCTGTCCCTGTCTGAGAGGACTTTGGACTACGGATGAAAATGTAGTCCCAGGGGAAAACACTCAATCAAGGAGACTAGCGACAACTACTTTTTTTACTGAGTGGCAAAAGCGTTTCATTCATTTTAGCACTGAAGCATTTTTAAAATGATGTCTGTTAGTGAAAGTAGGTCTCGTCTTTGTCATTCTTACCTGGGCTCTTTTTTAAAAGACCCACATTTTTGGCAACAGCTATGTTTTGAATGATTGGTTTGTATTGACACCATAGTAGGTGAGAGTTCTCTGGTAGTGTGACTCAAAGTGATCGTCTGCCGCTGAATAGGCTCTTGTCAGGGGCTGATTAGATGAACTCTGCAGAATGTTGACTGATGGTACCAACAATACTGTGTCTGTGTATGATTCAACCTGAAAGTGGTCAGGTGGGTCCCACAAAGAGCTTTTCCCACTCATTTCCTTTGTTGCTTTCATTCATGTCTTATTTCTTTTTCTGATTATGATTGAGATTCCAGCTGTTTTCTGGCGACTTAAACCTGAATTTATCTTTTGCAATTTGTCCGACTTTATTACACATTTTAAAAGACTCTGCGGTGAGGGATTGCTTAACACTAAATCTATTTATTTTGACTTGTCATTCTATTAATGTCTTGAACTCTGGCTTAAGAAAAAACTTTTGGGGGAAAATGTATGTGTTTTAAACAAGGCACAAAGACACTGACAGACATTTGTTTGTATTTGGGGGATGGTAAGGATGGGAGGTGGTGATGATGGTTCTTATATTTGCATATCCTGGGCGGACACCTAACAGAGCTCAGTTGGGCCCTCAGGCCAAAGTGTACAAATGACTCATTTACTTTCAGGTGCTGTAGAAGGGTCCCCTGTGCTGGAGAAATCCTGGATGGAAAGATGCCAAGTGTTTACCTGCCAATTTAAATAGAGTAAAAGGATCCTGCTCAGAGCCTTAGAACTTGATTCCGTATAGTTCTTCCCACACTCCCCCCCGCCCCCCTTCTGCCTCCAGGCTAGCTCAAAAAGTTTTCTTCCAAGTCGGTTGTTTGCTCAGGTATTACAGTGTTTTGACATTCTCGTTACTTAAAAATGGTTGTTGTTGAACACTGGAAACTGGGTGACCGAGTTTGGGAGATAATGTTTACTTGTTTAAACCCTGAGCTATTAACAATAAGCAGGTGCCAATTATTTCTCTATAGTCAAATGACATTTTTATTTTGTAGAAAATTTATGTTTGTTTTTTTTTTTCTCACACTGATGGTGAAAAGAAAACCCTGTGCACCTGAGTCCCAAGGCGAAGAAAATCTCCCATCTCTATAGGAACAACCAGTGTTAATGTTCTTTGCCATCGCAGTTGTTGCCCACTGCAGGTCAAAACACCATCAGATAACAGCACAATGAGGCAGATTTAAGCTCCAACTGTTCCTAACTGCCTCTGCTTGTCAGACCATCTATTGTAGGGTTATCATGCCCAGGGTAAAAATCAGTTCTTATTTAAGTCTCTCAGTTGTTCTAAGCTCCCTCCTTTCACTAGAACCATTTCCACGCGGCAGTTTGAACAAAAATAAACATACTTTTTTTTGAAAATGAAGATTAAAGGGTTTCGAGAGTGAGCAGCGATGTGCTGCGTTCAGGTTTCAGTGTTTCAGATTGACAGGGACTTTTTCTGAGCTGCACAGCCAGTCATTTGGAGAACACTTGGTTAGAGAAAGTCCATCAATAATTCTGCTGAATGACACCGACTTTATTCACATTTTTCCCCTGGGTATTTTTTTTAATGATGAATACAGTGCACAATTCTACTGCAAAACCCAAGTGCATATTAAAAAATCTGGGTCTATTCATAGGTAGATTATTTATCTGACATAATCTGAAACTGAATATACGAAATGACAATGAAAAGTAAAAACAAAAAGAGACAAATGAAACTAGAAATGTCACACATTTAAACTTAATATTAAGTGTTTTTGATTAGGATTTTTGCATATTGTGCATGCACATGTGTGTGTGCGCTCGCGCAAACTGGCTCCACCAAAAACATTCATTTTGTAAAATGCTGTGTCACCTTTCTCTGTTTATGTGGAGACTGCAGATAACTGCCACCTCTCACATTAACCCATTGTGAACCAGGATGATACACACAGATGCGCACATTTTGCAGAAGTGCTGGCTGTGCAGCCCAGTCTAAATGAATCAGTAGTGGGTTGAAATGACTGGTATGGGTGGCTACCTGGGACTGGGATGACAAAGCAGTGACCTCAGCAAGTCGTACTGCTGTAGTGTATGAGAGTGAAACTGATTGGATCATTTGCAAAAAAACCTATTGGACTTAAATTCTAGCTGCCAGTAAGTTGTAACTGTAAGGAGGAACGTGCCTTTAGGCCATAAACTCACTCTAGTTTTCAGGAAGCCTTGTGGCCCATATACAAAGGCAGTGGAATCTGTTGTATTTTCACAGGGGCGGTACAGTTTGTTGAACATCACATTTCCTAGTATCGGGTCTTAATTCACTACTTTAGTCTAAACTGTTATGATCTGCAATTAATATTGTATGTGTTGTTTAGTGGCACAAGAGGGTGCCAGGTTAATCAGTGCCATCAACACATTTCAATATCCATCTGCTTTGCTTTTCATGAACATCGGTGTAAATAAATGTGCGTTTGGTTCCTTTTGTCTTCAGCTAAAAGCAGAGATGAGACTCCAAGCAAAGTGGACTCTGAGGTGGTTCCCAAAGTGGCTCGCATGACTGTGTCAGGCAAGAAGCAGACTCTGGGCTTTGATGTTCCAAGGTATCACAACACAACTGCACTGAACATCCTGGCTTTGTTTTTTCTTTTCTAAACTGAGATAAAAAAAAAAGCAATGAAGCTTCATCGGCAGTATGCAGAGAAAGTGTGTCCAAAGTGGTACTGCTGGTACTAAGAAAATACGTTCCAATAATTCCTCTTCAAGAAGAAATACTGTTAATTGCTGTCAAGTTCTACAAACCTGGGCTGGTGACACTGATGAGCTTCCATTTAGATCTTTACTGATAAGACTTTGGCAGTTGATGAATGACCTGAAGGACAGTATGCATCTCTGGGATCCAGAGATTGATCTTTGCCCTGTGTTTTTTTCTGTTTGTCAAATGGAGGCCTTTAAAACCTCAATCAATTTTAAGTCAATCAGATTTAAGCATCCTCTGTGTGACTCTATACTCTATTCTCTCTCTATAGATAGCACACTGTATATATTTTTACGTATTATTATTATTTTTTTTTAAAACTTTCTCCTGACTCCATCACTCCTTGTTGCAAAGTTTTTAGCGAGTGGTTTGGTTTATAGTTGTTTAAAAAAAACCCTTCAGGTCTTTAACTGTCTTATGAAGTGTTTTAGGCCTTTTAATGGTGATGCATGCTGAAATAAGTTCATGGCTTCTGTAAAAACATATCTTAATTTAAGGGAGTCATTTGACTATAGGTTTGTATAAAGTGTTTATCAGTGTCACAAACACTCCAACTGCAGTGGGTGTAGTGTAGATTAACCCTATCTTGTTGAGGAATACACGGGGGCTGATAATGATTTTGAAAGCTGCAGTTATCTGTGGTCAGGAGAGCTGTGTTGCAGTCTGATTAAACTCGTCCACTTTCTCTCCTCAGCACAGAGGAGAACGGCGTCACCAGTGTCTCAACTCGCCGTGGTGGCAGTCCAGAAACTGCACCGGTCACAGAAGTCACCTCCAAGCGCCCGGAGACCCCGTCTAAAGGGCCCAATGCTGATGAGGCCTCCACAGTTCCCACTCCAAGCCGCTCTGCTGGAAAATCCCGGCAAACCATCAATGTGAAGGCCGAGCTGGAGAAGAGGCAGGGGGGAAAACCCCTGGTTAATTTAGTTGTTATTGGTAAGAAGGATGACCTGCACTTGTCTTTGTTAGTGGACCTGCGTACAAATGGTTGGAATGTTTTGTTTATTGGTAAATAATTCAGAATTCCCCGCTATAACTTGTTTAGGTATGACTAACTGGACCAGTCTAGATGCACAATCATCATTTCCCATTCAAAGTCACACCAGAAACAGTGACTGGGTACTTTCAGATGTGCAGATGATTCTTCCTTCCCACAGCCTGTGAAACCTTCTGCTATAACACCCCTCCCCCCCTCCTCATTTGCCCCTCTGTGCTGGTTCCAAATTCTGTCTGCTTCCCTCTACTTAGGCAATTCTTTTTGCTTCTCCTGTTTGTGGTTTCCTTTAGCCATATATCCCCCCACCTGTCTTATCATTCCTGTTACAGTCTTCCTGTTCTGCTCCACTTGCTCAGACCTTGTTTTCTATCAGTTCCTTGTTAATGTCTTGTACTCTTTGGTAACCCTCACTTTTTTTATCACCTCCTCTTTAGGTCATGTGGATGCAGGTAAAAGTACACTGATGGGCCACCTGCTTTATCTGCTGGGCAATGTCAACAAACGCACCATGCACAAGTATGAGCAGGAGTCGAAGAAGGCAGGGAAGGCTTCCTTCGCCTATGCTTGGGTCCTGGATGAAACTGGAGAGGAGAGGGACAGGTGAAATGATGGACGCCGTCACATGGAATTGTTATTACTGCAAGAAGTCAATGTCTTAGCCTCTAATTGTCCCAGGATTTTTTGTGTTTTTCGGTAGGGCAGTAGTGGGCGTCATTTTGCAAGCACAATTATTGCATGTTTCCTTCATTCAAAAACACAGCTGCAAACCATTTCAACCAGAAGATGAAACTTCTGAGCTTCATACCTAATAA